GGGTGTATGTGCCGCTTCCTTGCGTTCTGCATGGCAATTAGAAATGTATATTTTTAAAAAGCTGACCCAAATACAGCGTCCAGCAAGAAATCCTCTGGAAAGCATACATGCGTGTAAATACCAAAGCACACACATTTCTATACTCATAAGTGTAGAGTTTTATTAAAACAGCTGCGTGAGCGGCCGCCGGCATGTCCACCCGCACCGCCCAGCTGTGAACGAGGCGAACATGAGGATCGTTCGGCCCGGCAGCAGCAACAACAAACAAAAGAAACGGCAGAGACAGCGACTATCGAAATAAAAGCACGCAGCAGCGTTCGCCGCTTTCTCTTCGGGTGCTGGGGTTGGCGCTGGGGGCGAATTGACGACGTCGCGACGCGTCGTTGTCGCTGCCTGCGTGTATGTTTTTTTTTTATTCTCCTTATTGCTCTCCTGGCGTGTTAGCGTATATTTGTATGTGTATGTGAGTGCTACGCCTGTGTATGTGTTTGTGCAATCGACGTTTGGCCCCTTGATAAAATTGTGTATGCCTGCCGTTCGCTGCTCTGCTCCACCTTAGCTGCAGCCGCAGTCGCAGTCGCAGTCACCACCACCAGTCGCGCACTCAATTAAGCTTATCGCGCACTGTGCGTGCGTCTGTGTGTGTATGCGTGCGCCTGTGTTGGGGATATGTATTTGTGCTGAGTGCTTTAGAGGTGACTTTCCTCTTGTGCGCGCTCCTTGACGGCTGAGAAAAAAATTTGCTTGTTTCAGTTTGTTTGTCTGCCTGTCAGTCTGTCCGTTTGTGTGAGTGTATGTGTGTGTGTGTGTGTGTGTGTGTTGGTGTCGTGTGCAAAAGGCAGCGACGCAGCGTTAAAAATCCTCTTTGAGAGGATTAAATATACAACACACAGCTTTTGCTTATTGTCATGTGCTCTTTGCTTTGTGCGTGGTGCACAGTGTCACAAATATGCTTTGCTTAGCATAAAAACCAAAATTGTTGGGCATCCTAATTGACAAATACGTTTGTCAACCACTGTGTCTCTGTACGCCCTCCAACTGCACAGTTGTCACTGTTCCATAAACGGACAATGTCCCCTGGCAAGAGCTTAAGGGTAGCAGCGACAGCGGCAGCGGCAGTGACAGCGACGCTTTCAATTACATTTCATTTGCATTTCGTAGTTGCTTATTTGTATATGTATGTATGTGTGTGTTTATTTTTGCTGATATTGCCTTTTTCTGCCCAGGCACATATACACACACACACACACACACATGGATAAGTCCTCAGTGCTTTTTCGCCGTTGCTTTGACCAATCGCATGCAAAATAGGAAACATTTTTTTCGCCTTGCCACAACTGGGCGAATACTTGACGCGGACATTGGACATTGAGCTGCGACGACAGTGACGCCGGCGGCGTTAATTGAATTAAAGCGCTTACAAAATAAATAGGCTTCAGACGGATGTGCGCAACTCTCGCGCTCTCTCTATTGCTCGCTCGCTCTCTCTCTCCCTTTCTATTTCAGTCGTTTGCTGTTTATGAGCTTAGCAAAGCTTTGGCTGGTCACGTGCATGTTGAAATCCTTCTGGCAGACGCTGCAAATTTTCGACTTTTAGCCCACTTCCTTTGCTAAAAAAAAATAAAATAAAGCGAAGAAGCAGCGAAAAGTTTAAAGAAATTCGTAAATGTTGTTCGTCGTTTTGTTGCTATCACTTCGCTTGCTTTTTGCTACATTCTTTTCTGCTTGAAGCTTTACTTTTGTTGTTGTTGTTGTTTTTGTTGGTTTTGCTCAATTGCAAAACATATTTTGGTCACTGACCTTTTCTTTTATTTTGCCTGCTTTTAGACTCTTTTTTTTTGTTGTTGCTGTTTGTGTTCCACTTTTTAAATTCCGCTTTTGCCGTTGTTGTTGTTTTTTTTTGTAGCTGTAGCTTTTCCTTGGGGCGAGCTACTGTTGAGCAACTGTTGCGCCGAAGGCTAATATCGCGCACAAACAATTGCATAAAACCTTAAGAGAACATGCGTATTCATGTGAGTGTATATATGTGTGTGTGTCTGTGTCTGACACAAGTTGATGAGCCGCTTGAGATAAAAGCGCAGCACGTCAAGTGATAAAAATCAGAGAACCATTCAGCAACAACAATGCAAAAAAAAAAAAAACTAAGGAATTCAGCCGAAAGGAAAAAGATGAATACAAAAAGTAGCAGCAGAAGCAACTGATATGGCAATATTCTGGATTTAAAGAGCATTGTCAATAATTCCCTGTTGTTGGCCATTTTTGTTTTTGGGAATTTTTGCTCTTTTGATCGAATTTCTTAAGGCAGAGCCTTACAGCTGCGATGACTTAAATAAATAAAGGCGAACAATAACTAAAAGAAAAGATCAAATTAGTTAGCGAGCGCATTGTGCGGCATTTATGAATAATTTTGTAAATTGTGGCTTAAGCAAGATGTGCGCCAAAAAAAAATCCCTGCAGCAACTAGAAAAAGTCCCAGGCAAGAGTTGCCGGGAGAGCAGGTCTGCATGTTTGCAATGGCTGTGTGTGTATGTGTGTGTGTGTGTGTGGGTGGCAGCGCAGCTGACGTACTTTTGTTTTAGTTTACAGTTGTCATGAATGTTTTTTGTTTTTGTTTTTGTTTGGGTGCTGCAACAGGCAGCTAAACAGTAGCAGCAGCAACAGTTGAAAAGTGTTAGTCATGCTGGCGCGACTGTGTTTTGCGCTCTCTTTAATTGCTCGCGATCACCGGCTGAACAACAGTTATAATTTGAGAATCATTTTTTTGCGCGTGAGCGCAAGTTGTGCGCCGTTGAAAAGCTCGGCCAGAGAAAGACAGAGTGAGGGAGAGAGTGAGAGAGAGAGAGACAAGGCGCTATTATTGTTTTTGCTGCTGCTCTGTTTCATTAACAAAACAACAGCAATATTTATGTGTGATTAGTTGAGCGATTGTTATTATTGTTGTTGTTTGAGTGGGTTTCCTTTGCGCTTACTGCATACACACACAAACATGTCAACATGTGTGTGTGCGTGTGTGTGTGTGTATGTGTGTGTATGTGTGTGTGAAGTAGGTTAAGCTGACAAAAAGCAAATCGAGATTGGAGATTGGGATTTGTTTTTTGTTATTTTTTTTTTTCTACAATTTTAATGTGATTTGCATAATTTGTGTGTGTGGCCCAAACGCACAGGTGTTGTAGCTGGTCGTACGCCAGGGTTGTCATGACGCCGCAGCGGAAGTGATGACGACGCCGCTGCTGGGAATTGCACTAGCAGCTACTTTACACAGAGAGCGAGTGAGACAGTGCAAGAGACGCAGAGAGCGAGAGGCAGCGAGAGGGAGATGTATTAATGCTTATTCGAATGTATGCATGCATGTATTTATGCTGCTCAAAGCATAGATCGCGCTCTCTCTCTCTCTCACACACACGCACACACACAGACACGCACTCGCTCAGTTCATTCAGAAATTACGCGCTGTTGTGTGTTCATACCCTGCACCCATTGAGAACGGGTGGATATGTGGGTGGCTTTTGTGCCATTGAATAAGAGCAAGTTTTTATGTATTTTGACAATGCGACTATTTGTCGCATTATTATAGTTAAATCTACAGTTTAAATCATGTGACTTTTGGCTCTCCAAACAAGAAATACCCTAGTTCTTAGAGAATGCATTTTCCCATGTTGTATGTATGTATGGGTGTGTGTGTCTACGTATAGATGAAAGTAGGAATTTAGGCGAACGCAATTCGTAGCTGTGTGCAGGGTATCGTCTGGTCGATCATGCCCGGCTCAAGTACCGTTGCTTTTGCTATTGTGTATAGACATGGACACAGTGGCCCAGGCAATGGAATGTGTCAGCCAGCTACTGCACGCGAATTGGGGATCTATTAGATTGCTGCCCGGCTGCCCCGCTGCACCATCCCGCGACCTCGCCCCGCGCTTGCAGCGCGAAAGGGGTGCGGCCGAGCTGACTGTCGACGACGACTGACGAGCGCGGGCTGGGCTAGTCGAAACGCCGAAACGCCGAACCGTTTTCAATTGCGATCCGATCCGATTCGATCCGATTCGGATCCGATTCGGAACGTTGTTTGGGATTGGGCCGAGTCGTTTGTGTGTTGGAAAACAAAAAGGAAATGGCAGAGGGAAAATGACAAAGATCACTGAAGCAAAACCGAAAAGCAACAACAAACCAATTTCTATCTATGTATCTATGTATCTTTGTATCTATATAAAATGCACAACTACTTGTTTGTACTATGAGATACAATATGCCCGACTGCCTTCGCGATGTATTACAAATGTTGGCATGGATTTAAATATTTCTATACTTTTTTTCACTTTGACTTAAACTTGAATTAAATATACTAAAAATAAATTTATTGAATTTAAATATTTATTCGAGAATCAAGTTCATCTTAAGGACTAAATAAGATATTATTTTTGAATCCCATAGAGAAAAGTCGCTTTGCATATCGTTTTTTATTTCCGAATGTCGGATATTATTAAAAACATAATATTTATATATTCATATTCAACTTAGATTTAAACAAAGAACAATTCTCTTCTTACCTGAAAGTCTAAAATATATAACTTTCTGATGAGAGTATTTATTTACTTTACATATATTCATTTAAATCCTAAAACCCCGCAGAGAGTAAAGATACATATACTTATTAGCATGTCATAAAATCTGCAACTACTCAAAACATAAAACTTATTTTGCACAATTTAAGCACACGTAAATAAGTTCTAGATACAAATTTGGAGTCACAAGTTGAAGTTGAAATTCTACGAAAAACCCCCAGAGATGCACTAGTTGGAGACCTGTACGACTCTACATGGAGAGGTGCAAAGGTGGACAGGGTCAAAAGTTTGGTTAGGTCGGGTCGGGTCGGGTCGTATTTGGTGTAACATATTCATTCATAGATTTGTATGTAATTGTAACTGTTTGTTGCATCTTTTCTATGCACCAAATAAATAGATACATATGTGTGTGTGTGTGTGTGTGTATATCTATGTACTTACCGTTTCTTGGAAGCTTTAGTAATCCGCTCGTTGCTGTCTTTTTCTGGTTCTTCTTGTTGTTGTTTTTCTAGGCGATGGAAAGTTTTTGCTAAAATAACTGTAAGCACAAACACTTGAGGCACTGTTTCAGATTGGTTTTCTTGAATGCTCCGTTATACTTTGTATTCTTTTACTTGGTTATTCTTTTGTTATTGCAAAAAGCATAGTCAAGAGTTGCAACAGTTGTGAATAAGTTGAAAACGGAATTGGAATTGGAATTGGAAAATAACTTAATATAATTCACAGCTGAGCTGAGCAATTGCCGCGTGCAAGCAACGGCGGCGCACGAATCTCCAATCAGAACTGAAACGTAGGGATGTCGACGCAGACGCCGTCGCCGTGTTGTCGTTGTCCCTGAATGTTAATATTTGTTGCTGTCGCTGCTGCTGCTGCCGCTGGCAGAGTCGCGACGACGTCGGGCACGAACGAGAGCACGATCACGAAAACCGAACTGTTAGCGGACAGGGCGGCAGATTTGGGCTGTCGGTTAGGGGAGGGGCGGTGGTTGGGCGGAAGAGTTGGTTGGAGCCGATGTGCGCCTTAGTATGTGTTCAAGTGTACAAATGAGCGACTGTGTATGTGTGTGTGTGTGTGTGTGTGTGCGTGTGTGTGGGTTTCGAGGGGCTGCCACGACGACGAACACGCGCGCCTGTTTTACGACGTTTGTTGGTGTTGGTATCGATGTCGTCGCCGTTGGGTGGATAATAATATCGTCGTCTACGCTCTGCTCCCGTTTTGTGTTATTGTAATGGCGGCTTTCAAATGTGATAAATAGCCGAGTGTTTGCATGTGTGTGTGAAGCCGAGTCGCAGCCTTCGTGTGCGCTAGAAACCGAAAGAAAAAAAAACGTTAAGTGGGATGTTGACGGACGCGGACGAGCGGATGAAATGGAATGAGCGTTTGAATTGGCTTGGCGGCCAGTAAAACCAGCCAAAGTGCTAAAGCGCCGCAGTCGGCCCAGAGCAAAAAAGAGTGAGAGAGCGAGAGCAAAAGAGCAAGCGTAGCAGCCAGCAACATTGACATTTTGACTTGCCGCTCACTAATACAATGATATGGCGCAATGAACAGCAATAGCGGCAGTTGCCGCTGCGTTGGCGCTCTTCTCTGGCGCTCGCCCTTTACGCTCTTGACTCTACACACTTAAGCGCGCGCTCTCGCACTCTCTGGCCTGATAAGCGCATGTCGAAATCAAGTGAGCGCCAGCCAGCAGCCGCGCACTGCTCACCACTTTGGCTTCCTCTTGCTTGTTCGATGTGACTTGCTATTGCCGCGCTGCGCGTCTCTGCCCCCATGTATGTATTTTCATGCTGTCGCTGCCTCAGCGTATTACGAAATATGACAACAATGCAGTTTTGCGGCAGCGCTCGTCTGCTCGTCCTCGTTTCGCTCTGCCGCTGCCGACGTTGCTTCTTCTTGGTTAGCAGTTACTGCATGCTCAGCATAAAACTGTGCTCTCACGCTCTCCACGTTTCGCTCTCTCCCGTTCCCGCTCCCGCTCTCACTCTCTTCGCAAGTGGGTGGCTCTTTGCTCTTGTTGCTCTGTTTGTTTATTTATTCTCGCATCACTTGCAAATTGATTGCATCTCGATGAATTTTTTTTTGCTCAACAAAATACATAAGCTATAAATAGTAACAGGGAAATTTTCTAACGTGGCGCATTCCGCCACATCTATTTTATAAATGCCATCCCATTATAAAAAATAAAACGGGTTTTCGATCAGAACGCGTGCCCCGCTAGCTGGCGCGCGTCTAACTGAAACCGAAATCAAATTGACTTTTCCCCGCTTCACACTTGAGCTTAATTTTATGTGCATACAAATTTTACAAGCGGGGGAACCCTAAGTCCCTACCTTACCGGCCGAGTCTGTCCGGGGCCCGCAATAAATGGTAATTCAATACAATACAAAAATGTATCGGGGCGTTGCCCAAAACAGATTGCAAGGCCTTAGATAATGCAAGGATCAAAATGCATGAAAGCTCCTTTGGGAATATGGCTATACCCTTTGAAAGTGTGTCGCATAGGGGTATATGCACCAAATGTTGTAGACTCTCATTTATTTCAGTACACATCAGGAATATCTCAAGTTTTAGGAGATAAATCCCTGAGCTTTGGCATGGACACACTTTTGGTACCACATTTAAACCCTTCCTTTTAGATCGCACGAAATACGGGGAATTTATTTACTTAAATATGCAATTTTCATAGTGTGTGGCTGAGGGAAGAAGTTTACTCAAATTTGAAACTGGGCAAAGGACATCTTCTAATCAAGAATTCTCGATATTAGTTAAGCTCTAAATGACCCAAGGCCCTTTCATCGAAATTATATCATGTTAAATTTATACCTATTATCTTCTTGTCTTGTGGCTTTAATTCACGGAATTCTAGATGTAATACCAAACCGGATCTAATCGAATATATATATATATATAGATACAACTTTGAGTTGGGTTCAGTTCATGGAATTTAACTTCTTGTTAAGAGATTTGCACAAACGAGACTCGTCTAAAAATTGATTATTTATTAAGTATTTCGTCATAGTCAGACAATAAGTCAGACAACTAGCAAATGAATCATTTGAGTGAAGATGAATCATTCGATTCGTCAGAAAGGGCGTTTCTAGTACATAGCACAGGCACCCTGTATTTCACGATCAATTGTCTCTAGATTTGCATTATCTTTCAAGCGTTAAAAATCGTGTATTCATACAAAAATTGGCATCTGCTAGTGTCATAAAAGTATATAAATAAATTATATTCAATATATATATGTATATATGTCGGAACAGAGAAATCACTTTCTTTGCAATTAGGCATACTGGCAGTACAGCAAGTCCCGAGTGTCGTTATAGTCACAAAATAATTATATTTTTAGGAGCGAGCACGTCTGTTCTCTATGACTTCCACTTTTAGAATGAATAATTTTCATCGTCCTCGAGCATACTACTCATGCTCTTGTCATTCTATATTCTTCTCTGACTTTTAGTACTGTTAGTGAACATTCAACACTATAGCAAACTGGACGTTATACAACACACTCGGGCCATGCTCGGCAGAGACTATCTTTTTTTGTCTCACACCATGCTTTCAGTAGCAACCCTAATACAAGTAGGACAGTTATGTTAAATAGCAGTACCTTCTGTCAAATTCTCTGATTCTTACTAACACTTAATCGTTAGCATTCAAAATAATACTCACAATAATTTATTGGATACACGACACGGCCTTCCTGACATTTCACACGTCCTCGTGTGTACATTTCGCTTAGATCATGCCATAGTCAAAATTGTTGGGTAAAATTTATTAGTCATTACTTTACTTTAAGAATAGCTTTACAAACAGCAGTATCATCGGTCATTGTAGGTTTTATTTTTTTTTTTTTTTTTTTTTTTTTTGTTGTTGTTCTGTCATCACACGTCTATAGGCTCTTGCTGCCCAGCAACGATAATATGGAGCGGATCCATACAGGTCTTTCAACCTCTGACCCCCGCCATAATATCACCCGCTTCAGCACGCCATGATCGAGCACTTGTGCACGGCGTGAGTATTATGGTGCGGTCTTAGCCATCGTGTATGAGCCCAACCGCACTCTCTCTTAGTGCCACAGTGTCTTGAGCAATGTCCTCAACATTGTCACACTCATCATCTCTCAAATCTATCAACTCCTCCGATACATTGTTGCTTGGAAAAGCTCGCAAATACTCATGTGCATACTTAAACGTGCGCTTACTCGTCAATGACTTTAATAAATATCTGTCTCCATCAAGTATTTCGATTATCACAAAAGGTCCCTTAAACTTGGGATCTAACTTCGTTTGATTTCGTTCTTCCCTCTTGAGTAGGACATGATCACCAAGCTTATATTTTACAATTTTTGCTTTATTTTTATCAAACCTAGCCTTATCATATTTAGCGTTATTCACCATGTTATCTTTCGCTTGTGCTCTTATTAAATCTTTATCAATTGTTTTTTCATCTGATATTGTTATCATTCCTAACGGCCTTGCCTCTTTACCGATTAGCAATTCTAACGGACTATATTTCGTTACACGATTTGTCGTGCAATTTATTGCCAGCTGTATGTCTTTTAAAGCGTCTTGCCAGGATCGCTGACTACTCTCAACCGCTGTGAGCATGCTCTTCAAGGTGCTCATGACACGCTCTACTTGGCCGTTTGCTCGACTGGCGCCCGTCGCAATCAGGTGTAAACCTATCTTCTGCGAAGAACAAAATTCCCTAAACCTTGTGCTAGCAAAACATTTACCCTGATCAGCTATGATGCGTGCCGGCACTCCGAATAGTGCAACAGTTTCTTTGACTGCCTTAATGCAGTTTTCCGTATTAAGGTTCAGCGTATGTTGAAGGTGAACAAATTTTGTGAATGCATCAACTTGAACTATGATGTACTCTTTTAAGTCGTTTTTGCCACTTAATTTTCCGGTTATATCAATATGCACAGTGTGCCAGGGTATGTCATCTTTAGGAATCGGGTGCATTTCTATTTGTAGCTTACCAGATGGTGGTTTTGACACTCTACAGGTAATGCAATTTTCTACAAACTTTTTCACATACTTGGACATCTTCTCGAACCAGTAGTTGGCATACATTTTGTCTAGAGTTTTCTTCCACCCTAAATGCATTATGGCTTCGTGAACATTGTTAATGACTGACCATCTAAAGGCTCTAGGTATTACAGGCAAACATTTTGTGCTGCCATTTCTTTGAATCCTTCGATATAATACTCCTGCTCTCAATTCGTACGACGCTGAGATAGCTTCTCCCATCTTATGGTTTCGCAATTTTAAGGTTATGGAAGCAATGTCAGAATCTCGTTGCTGTTCGGCTAGAAGCCAATCGTCGGTTATCTCAGCTAGGTTTATGTGCATTTCAACCGTTTTCGCTGAGGATTTATAATCAGTAGGCAACGGATTGCGCGAGAAAAAATCAGCATGTAACATGCGTTCTCCCTTCCTGTATTCAATGCTGAAATCAAATGATTGCAGATATGCCCACCATCTATGTACCCTTGGGGTAAGGTTAATTTTTTTGATACTTGCTTTCAGGGAGTTGCAATCTGTATGCACAATAAATTTTTGACCATGTAAATAATGGCGGAAGTGTCTTACTGCGTTGTAAACTGCGAGGGTCTCAAGCTCGTATGAATGATATTTTGCTTCAGCCATTGTCGTACATTTGCTGTAATATTCAATGACTCTGGGTCTATTTTCTATCTTGTGCATTAAAATAGCACCATATCCAATAGAACTTGCGTCTGTATGTAATTCAATTGGCTTTAGTGGATCGAAAATTGTCAAAACGGAGTCATTAGTCAAAATTGATACGATTTTTTGACGAATTTCCTCATATTCCGGCTTCCAGACAAATTTATTATTCTTGGAGGTGAGATTATATAAAGCTTTCATCTGCTCAGAAAATTTTGGTACGAATTGCCTAAAATACGAGGCTAGGCCTATGAATTGTCGCACCTGCGTTACTGACTGCGGTGACGGCAATTCGGCCAACGCTTGTATCTTGCGTGGATTTGGTCGAATTTGACCCGCTTCAACCAAGTATCCTAAATATTCTATGCTTGTTTTCAAGAACGAGCATTTTGTAATGTTAAATGAGAATCCAGCTCTAGACAAGTTTTCCAAGACCGTTTGTAGCCTTTCAAGTGCCTCTTCCTTTGTCTTCGCTAGAATTAACACGTCATCTATATAGACGATGGCATACGTTTGAGCCAAATCACCCAATGCTCTCACGATTGCGCGCTGGAAAATCGAGGAAGCATTTTTTAATCCAAAAGGCATGGCCAAAAATTCATACTGTCCTTCTGGCGTGACAAAAGCAGTGCGCTCGATAGAGTCTGGGTGTATTGGA